TCTCTATCTGTCTGTCTCTATCTGTCTGTCTCCTCCTGTCTGTCTCTACCTGTCTGTCTCCTCCTGTCTGTCTCCTCCTGTCTGCCTCCTCCTGTCTGTCTCTACCTGTCTGTCTCCTCCTGTATGTCTCTATCTGTCTACCCCTACCTGTCTGTCTCTCTGCCTGTCTCCAGGCTGCGGGTGCTGCTGGAGGAGGAGGAGCAGCAGCTCCTGCAGGAGATGGAGGAGAGGACGGAGACGTCGGTGGAGAGACAGGCGAAGATGAGAGAGCGAGCTAAAGCCCTGAGAGAGCGGAGAGAGAGAGACAGGCAGCAGCTGGTGTCAGACAGACTGGAGCAGCTCTTCAGGTGAACACACCTGCGTCACTTCCTGCAGCCTTTCACAATAAGAGCCTGCAGGCTGCTGGTGTGTGTGTGTGTGTGCTCAGTGTGGCGGTGTTTCAGGGAGCAGTGTGAGGAGCTACGGACCGTCCAGATGCGGCGTCAGGAGCAGCAGGTGTGCGCCGAGCGAGCCGCTCAGGTGAGCGGACGACAGGAGCGGCTGCAGCTGCAGCAGCGGGAGGACGAGACGTTCGACCGACTGTGGGAGGCCGACCGACGGGCCAAAGAACAGCGAGAGGCGGAGAGAGTGCAGAGGAAGCAGCAGAGCGACAGACAGCAGCTGGACTTCATCAGGACTCAGATAGACACAGCGGAGCAGCAGAGACAGCAGCAGAGACAGCTGAGACAGGAGGAGGCCACACTCATGGTCTGTTAGCAGGGTACACTGATAAAAACACAAATGTAAAATTACAGTGATTAACAGTATTAACTAGTTTAAGTCATTTGTAAATGTAGTTTAATATTTTTATGTGAAAAAAAGGAAATGTTCTTTAAATAAGCAGTAATTCATTTTATGTTATTTCACATTAGACGTGTTTTGCATACAGAAATAAATCATCGGTATGTTTTAATCAGCTGAATATAAGAATCATTGTGTGTTTATTAGAATGAGTTTTTATCTACAGCGGGTCCTCTGCTGGTGGAGTCCGCCATGTTTCCTACGGTAGCCCAGAAGGGACAAACCAAACACTGGAGTCTGTAACAGCCACTTTAGTCTTATTGGTTGCAATCTGCAACTTCACCACTAGATGTCACTTGATCCAACACACTGGTCAATATTTTATCTACGATTATTGTACAGTGAAACCAGCCGAACGCCTGAATTGGAAACTACGGTGGCTGTTAAAGTCTCCATGGTTTGTCCGTTCTGGGCTACTGTAGAAACATGGTGGACACAGAGGACCTGCTGTAGACACAAACGTCTCATTCTAA